ATGTGCCAAATAAAGCATTTCTACCTTTAAGTTTTGGATGTCAGGTATTTGGTAACAGCAACAGGAAACCTACCAAAAATAAATCTCCTATTATTTCCATTCTGTAATCCTATGAACAACCTCTGTATCTGCAAAGATAACTGCTATTCTCTTTCTCATGAAAGAGAAATTCATGAGTTAAATTCATTTCATTTCATGAATTCAAAGATATATTTGAGGAATGTTTTTTCCCACGTGTTTTGATAAACTGTAAAAATAGATATATATTGTCCATACATGTTTGCACATCCACATCTCTCCATGATGTGACATCTTATTGGGTAACTACCTTTGTCTCTCCCACTGCCGTTCTATGTAGTTTGAGTTGTATTGAGTCTACCACCAGATCCATTTTTCTTACCCGGATAGATAGTGAATTTATTCTTCCAAGTCTGAAGATAAAATCACAATCCAAGTCTGGCCAATGAAATCAACTTCAAGATTTTTTTCAAATATCAAAGAAAAGAAAGAAAGGAAGGAAGGAAGAGAAAGAAAGAAAGAAAGAAAGAAAGAAAGAAAGAAAGAAAGAAAGAAAGAAAGGAGGAGAAAGAGGAGGAGGAGGAAGAGGAGGAGGAAGAAGAGGAGGAGGAAGAAGAGCAAGAGGAAGAGGAGGAGGAGGAGGAGAAGGAGAAGGAGAAGAGGAAGAAGAAGAAGAAGAAGAAGAAGAAGAAGAAGAAGAAGAAGAAGAAGAAGAAGAAGATCTTGCTATTGGTTTTGTCAGGAAAAAATGATGCTGTATAGCCCTAGAGCCCCTAGAACTTATCACCTGCAGAGAGATGCCCAGGAGTGGAGTCTACTCAGAGTAAAGAAGTGCTGAGACAAGACAGATGAAGACTGAGAATATCAGAACATCACTTTTCACATATATGATCCAATAAATTCTTTTTTAAGTATAAGATCACTGATTTATATTATATGAATGCTTCTAATTCCACACTTTCTGCATTCTTCACTAACTTGGTTGCTATTATGAACACTCTTCATTAAGTTAATATTAATGAAGGATGTATCTAATTAATAATCACATTACTAACATGAAAAATAATAGGTGAGTAGAAACTAGACAGTTTAATGGGGGATGAAATTGGTTAAAATTGAAAGTAGTCTTTGAAGACCATCATGGGCGTAAGCAAAAAAATTAAACTTTAAATGGTGCCAAAACAGTCATTAAATTTTTTTTGAAGAAAAGTGGCATAAAGCAGCCTGTGTTTTTTGCTCAAAGTAAAATTCTCTAGCGTTATAGGGAAAACTATCTTTAATAACAAGATGCTTAAAGGAGGAGATGAGTTATCAGGTAATGAAAGAGAAGAGCTGATTAAAAAATGAACCTTTTCTGTGGCATTTTATAAAAGAAATAATGGAAATGCTGGTAAAAGTTGCAGAACTTCACAACTGATTAATCGTGAGAACAATCAAATAAAAATGTGTGGCTCTGAACCAGAATCTTTAACAAAGTTTCCCTTTCTCCTCTTTATTGTATTATTCTACTCTCTGGTATTTTATAAAACTTCTGCCTATTTATATTTAAGGAAGCTATTGAGCTTATTCTCGTATGCTTCTCTGACTTACTTTTCATGGCACCATTGTTAGAGTAAATTTAGATTTGCATTTTTTCTGCACTTTAATTTTTACTTATTTGTATAGGTAAAATGAAAAAATGTTCTTTGGTTTTATCAAACTATATAGTAATTTTATTTTTCCCTGATATCATAAATAATTTTTTCTTAGAAAATATTACTGCAAACCATCCTAAACTATCACTATATACGATACACATGGGTTTCCTGATTTAAGAACTTAGACCGAGTACAGAAGAATGGCTGACAATGCTGTGTGACACATGGGGGTTCTGCTAGAACACTGTGTGTGATGACTTGACTGTCCGGGAGACTTAAATCCAGTGGGGCCATCTGAAGTTTAGGCAGGGATGACTCGAAGCTTGGGAGGGGTAGCCTGTGGCCTGGGTCTAACTATGGCCATCATCTCCAGCACATCCCTGTGGACCTTCCAGATGACTTAGGTTTCCAGTGACCTAGCAGCTGGGGACTGAGTTATAGAAGCAGGTAGAAAATGAATACTCCAGAAGAGGCAGGCTGAAGCTGCATGGTTAGCCTCCGAAATCACATAACACTTCAGTATATTCTGTTTCACACAGAAATCACAAGGTTTCTCTTGGATTTAGGCTTAGTTGACATAGAAACTAATTGAAAGTGCCAAGGAACATGCATTTAATTTTTAAAACTGACATACAACACTCGCAGATATTCTTTGATGATTTGCAAAGAAATTGTGCTTTTTGAATGTAGTAGGCAAAATTTAGATTAGTGATGCTAAAATAAAACCTATTATTAAAGACATAATTTTAAGCATTTTATTTTAGCAAACTATTATCTTTACTCATTTTTATTAATGTTCAGTTACAAATGTTAACTCGGGCTTCACATGAATTTATTCAACAAATATGTGCACTACATTGCCTACATGCCGAGCAATCTTTCACAGCAAGGATCCCCAGTTGACAACCATGGGACAAAACTGGCTCGCTATCAGCATCAGTTTGTGAGCTAAGAAGGGTTTCTACATTTGCAAGTGGTACAAAAAAATTAAAAGATGAATAATATTCATAACTATTGATAATTATGTGAAATTTCAATTTTAATGTCCGCTGATGTTTATTGGAATGCAGGCATTTATTCACTCACTCATATGTTGTTTATGACTATTTTCATACTTCAGTGACATTTGTAGTACACAGTCTAAAATACTTAGCTGGTGGAGCAATCACAAAAAAAAAATTCACCAACACTTTTGGTCTAAGGGATGCAATAATTGATAAAACATTTATAAATCCTTGTGTTTAAAGGCTCATATTTTGGTGAGAAATTATACAAGTGAAATATAGTAGATAGTATAGTTAAGTAAAAAGTCAGGAAAGAATGATATGGACACCAAATATAATCCAGTATGATTTATTTTAACTTCATTACATATTTAAAGACTGTGATTCTAAATAAGATCACATCCACTGGTGCTGATGGTTAGGATTTGAACCATATTCATGGAAGATACAGTTTAATCCACAACACCAAGAAATAGATGCGCTACAAGACTTACAGTTACTTTCCTTACATTCTTTCAAGTTTTACTTTGAGTCTAATATGTAGGATCTCACAGCTCTAAAAGTTAGTACAGGAACAATGGAGAGAAAACTAAGGAAACAGTGAGAAGGCCCAAAAAAAAACACCAGAAAATCTCAGAAAGAACAGGATACGTATGCGAGGAACAGAAAAGAGGAACGGGCAAACAAGCAATCTCCTGCGGTAACCTCTCCTGCTCCTGAGACACATGTCACGGTTGTCTTCAGTCCTGTCTCTTCCCTGGGCTGTGCCCTTGCCATGGCTCTGTGAGGACTGAGTATTTCCTGCCTCTTTGAGCTGCATCACCTGACTTGCTTCAGTCGCTGAGGATGAAGAGACAGTGTGTCAATTACACATCACACAAATCCCTCTGTTTCTCTCTCTTGAGCTTTGTCATTGCCTAGAAAAGAGAGCTGTGTCAACTTCTCCACAGCCCGCTGTGAGAGGCACAGCATCCTCAACCTGGGGTCTGAGGCAGAGGTGCTCACTTGCTGAAGACTCCTCAGGAATATCTGGTGGAATAAATGAATCTCGTTTTATAACACTGAGTTTTGGGGTGGCTTTCCATGTAGTGTTACTATTGCAAAAACCAATAGAATAGTGAAGCTCAGAAATATTTGTCTCAGATGTCTGCAATGCTTGCTATCCTATCTAAAGGACTAAAACATAGAATTCACAAGTTACACTTCACACACAGGCAGGTCAGGATTAAGGTACAACGTTCTGTGAAAGGAGGACATTCATAGGGCATGTCCAGTTGAGAAAAGTACAGAAAATTACAACTGTGCAAAAAAATTCAAGTTTTAAAAAGATATCTGTATTACTATGCTCTGTTTGCTGTAACAAATTATTATATTCTGGGTATAAATAGGAATTTGTTTCCCATTGTACTGAAGATTGGGAAGGTCAAGGTTCCTACAGAGCTGAGCTCCCAGGGAGGGTCCTCCCTGCTTGCCTATGGCTGTCTACATTCCAGCTGTGTCCTCAAGGCAGGCTGGGAGAGGGAAGGAAGAGGACTCTGGCATCTCTTCCACTTTTGTAAGAGCTGGAGTTCAATTATACAGATCAGTGCCCCCCTCTTTTGATCGTATTTAACCTCAGTCAACGCTAAAGCTTCTATCCTTTATAGTCACATGGATGGCTAAGACTACAAGATAGGAGTTTTAAGAGGATATAAATTAGTTCATCTCAATAGCAGAACTAGGCCTGGTAGTTCTGAACTTTCTCAAGTAAGAGCATGGAAGCAAAATAGCTAATAGTAAAAACAACAGCTCTGTAATTCGACATGATATTTTATATTTTTATGATTTGATTTCTACAATACATAATGCTTTATACTATGACAGCAGAAATATTTAAATTTGTGAAAGGAAATTAACATCGAAGATAGAAGGTGGAAAATATAAAATGCTTCTCACCACATGCTTGACATTATTTAATCTCATCTAAAATTTACTTGTATCACACTGTTATCACTTGTTCTGTGTTTTGAGAGTCACAGAACTAAAGAAAGTAAATAAAAGGTTAATCAATTCTTCTCCCTACTTTTCTAATATGTAGGATCCATATTAGGACCTATCATATGCATAAGACCAGTGGATATTAGAAAAGGAAGGGAAGAGAATGGAAAGATATGAATAATAAAAGAAGAGAAGGGAATAGAAGAGAGAAGGAAACAGGAAAGTGAAGGAGGAAGGAGGTAGCTATTTGCTTTCTGATGATCTTTTGAACTATGAAAGCACTACATTTTAAAAGGATATGTCTTTATACACCAGTTACCAAAGTTTTTTTATTAATATTTGGTTAAAGAATTTACAAAGCCCTTAACCCAGAAATGCTGTCAAATTTCCAACATTACTGATTTTTCCTGAGAAGAACAGATAAAAATAATTCCTATAAGTCTAGGGGAAAATACTATACACATGCCTTCTCATTTTTATTTCCATTTTGTATCCATTTTCATCTTTGTTTCCCCGACACCAAATAGTGCTTTAGAAATTTCACTTATGAATTCTGTGTGTCCAGCCTTAGGCTGTGCTCTAGCACAGGAAATGGGTCTTTAGGAGGAGTCATAGTGGGATTGCCTGTCTGTACCTTGTGCCTTTGTTCTATTTGATTCTGCTGGCAAAACCAACTCAGAAACATGCTTTCTTGTCTTTTTCTTTTGTATGGCTACACTATTGTGTATATATAAAAGTTTCCCATACCGCTATGTGCCAAAGTGTTTGTGTAGGTGAGGAAGGTAACATTCCTTTGACCTAAAATGGATAAACGAGGAAAAAGCTTTACTTTTTTTTCCTGTACGATATTGTCAAGGAATAGGCTATCCTGGTCTCTGTTTTTCTTTCCTTTCAGCCACTAGGATATGGCTTTCTGTTGTTTCATGGTTTTAAAATGGTTGCCTGAACTCTGGTGTTGCTTCCACGATGCTGCCAGAAGAAGTGGAAGAGACAAAGGCAAAACAGGTAAACTATCCAATCTTACCTCTGTTAAACAGCTTTCTCAGACTCTTCAATTGGTGACTTTCATTATTTCTTTCTCTCTCCCACAATTGTGGTTGTGATTACCTTCAATGCAAGCAATACTGGAAAATGTAAGAATTTTTGTTCTTTTTAGCTTTTGTCCTTTATTTCCTCCTCCACTTGGGCATGTGATGTAAATTGTTCTTAGAATGTAACGTTAGATATGATATGATAAATGAGACTAGCTGGGGAGGAATAAATTATTATGCTCACAGACCCAGAAAGGGCCTCCGTGTGCCATGTGGGCTCATAGGGAAGCACTAGTGTGGTCAGAAAGCAGAAGACAGGACCAGGGGAAGTCAATGCCAGAACCTGTGTGAAGGTTTCTACAAGGAAGGACAAGCAGCCACAGAAAGCGTGATGCCGGTAAATGTCCAGACAGAGGTGGTCCCTAATTGCCTGGTAGCTCACCCTGGGTTGATTTAGGGCACAAGAAATACTAAATCTCTGTGAAAGATTTAGAAAAAAAGCACTTAGGGCTGTAGCCTCAGGATTATTTGGTTTGTCTATAAAAAAAATGTGTTCATGTAAGAACTGGCTAGCCATGAAAGGAATAGCTTCTCCCCAGCCAGAAAGCTTTTATGATGGCAAAACATCACAGAGTATAGAAAAAAATTAAGATTAATACACTGCTGTGGAAAATTGCTTGTAAAAATGACAATAATTATCCCTCTCTGCTTTTCTACTTTTCTTATAACATGATTCTGGACCTCTCTCACTATGAGCTGGTATCTCCTAGGGCTGGCCTTATATCTGGCTTTGCTTAGTAGAATTAATTGGAAATGATTTGTTCCAATACCTAACCTAGGTCTCTATCTCAGTTCATTTTCTGTTCCTATAACAATATTTCACACTGTGTCATTTCTCAAGAATAAAAAAAAAAAAAATTGTGACTCTTGGTTGTGGATGCTGAGAAGTCCAAGAAAATGGCATTGATACCTGATAGGGGATCATGCTGCATCATAAGATGATAAAATACATCACATAATAAGAGGATGTGGTTGTAACTGTAACCCACTCATGACTGTGATGACATTAACCCATGTGTGAGGCCTGCCCTAATGACCAAATTATCTCCCACTAGGCTGCACCTCATAATATGGTTACAATGGCACTGAGTCCTGGAGGGGACAAACAGTGAGACAGACCATAGTAAGCTTCTAAGGGACTTAAATACTTTGCCTTACAGCAGGAAGTGACCCAAATAAACCTGGGCTGTCCTGCTAGATGATGAGAGACACAAGCCCCATCACCACAGTCATCAAGCCAGTAGGCAGCTCATCCCAAGAACAGAATTACCCAGATGAAAACATACTGGCTACCTTAGAAACATGAATGAGATTATCAGGGACCATAAGAACCACACAAGTTCAACATATCATATCACTCACTAATGGAAGTATGAATGGCTGTTGTTTTAAGTTATTAAGTTTTAGGGTGGATTATGCTCCATCAAAAGTCAACTGATAAGAGTTATTTTATGTTAGTGAGGTACAAGGTACAAAAGGATATTACTTAGGCTTCTAGCTGTGTCTGTCATGGGATTTATAAATGTTTTTCACCTCTGTCCATCCTGGGAACCCAATCGAACTGACGTGTTTTAACCTTAATACTTAATTTTAATGAATATGAAAATTACTTAAGTATTATTTTAAAACAAAACAGAGATTCACAATGTGGATTGACTGGGCATATGTCCAACAGATTACTGTGTGGGAGCCTGACCTTCCTCAGTTTCTCATTTAGGGGGACCCCAGAAACCCTCATGGCAGCATGGGCCATTTTGAAGCCCATGACCTCATAACTTAATTCAGACCCAGGTAGGACTGATTGGCTAGACAGCAGACAAAGACACGTGCTGATTTGGAAAACTAATGAGACCGCTGAAAGTCCTGGCAAGATCATCTTCCTCAGGTGTGCAGGTGCAGTCATATCATCTACATTTTAGGCAGTTTAGACACTTTCTGTGGCATCCTGGCGGCCAGCGCCAAGAGGAAAAATGCAGCAGTGACAAGTGTGTTCAACTTGGCATATCAGTTATTGAAAGAAAGACCAATGACATTTATGTCATAGAACTTGGAAAGAAGTACTTCTAATCATGAATCAGAAACCTTCTGTTCTAAACTCATTTTGAATATCTGTAAGCCTAATTTTGAAACATAACAGGAACATTATAAAAATAAAACATTTTAATGCAAAATGTAAGAATTCCAAACATGAGGTCATAAAAGTTAGTATTTTATGACATCTACATTGAATGCTCTAATATGAGATTGTATTTAAACTACGGTTTTACAAATTTTAATTACTAAAGCAACTTTTATGTATTTTTGATAATTCAAGTGAGTTATTGTTTTACATTAAATGAAGAAATTTTAAAATATATTTTCATATAATTATTAAAAATTTTGAATGAAATAGATATACTGAATGCATATATGCATATATTTAGCCTATGTGTGTAAGGTATATATGTGTTTTAATTTCTTCTCTACTCTGATTGTGGGGTCTCTTTTGAAGAATGATTGCACATCCTATCTCCACCATTATGGAAATATGAAGGATTTGAGCCAGGTGTGATGGCGCATTCCTGTGAATTCTAGCACTCAGAAGGCTGAGGCAAGCAGATCATTGCAAGTTTGAGACCAACTTGGGCTATATAAGTGAGCCCAAGGGCAGCCTGAACTGCATAGTGAGAACTTGTCTTCAAAAGACAAAAAAAAAAAAAAAAAAGAAGGATTTGGTTTGATTCTTTACAGTGTGCCTTTTATAAGCTATTTCTTCCTCCTGATAAATGCTTAGTATCTTAACTATCTCACATATGACAGTTATGATTAGTGTCTGAATGATTCTGCCCCACTCCCAAAGCCTCATACAGCCATAAATGAAACCTTTTAAGAGTGACTATCGGATCTAAAGTGTTGTCCCTGTGATTGATTCCCAGTGCAATGCTAGGATCAAGGCCACTAGATTAAAGCTATAAGTGCTACCTGCCCAGGTAGCCTGATGAGATGTAAGGGATGGAAAGAGCTGTGGGCCTCCCTTGATTTACTGCCTTTTGCCTGCTTGTTTCTCCACTGTGATGCCTGTTTGTCCCACCACCCTGCCTTGGAACCAGCTGATTATAGACTGAAACCTCTAACAATTGTGGGCCAAATAGACTTTTGACCTTTAACTTTGAGTGTTGTGTAATTTATCTCAACAATGAGAAAAGTAACTTAAGAATTTGATCCCAGAGAAGTGGCGTCATTGCTGTGATGTCATTACCTGGCATGTGGCTCAAGAGCCTTTGGAATTGGCTTGTGGGATGTGAAAGAGTTAGAAAAGCTTCAGAGATGCTGACTGAAAAAGTACAGCTGGAACTCCTTAGGTTTTACTTAGAGATACTGATCAGAGCTCAGAAGACTCGAATGCTGATAGAAACACTGCTGGTAAACACAAGTTCAGGAGGTTTCTGCTAGGAAGAAGGACTGGATTTGCCATTGTGTGTTAAAACTTGGTAGAAAATTTGTCTGCATTTTGCTCCTGTTGGAGAGTGCCTGAGACTAAGGGTGATAGACTACGTAATTTGGCAGAAAATTTAAAGGTAGTCAAATATTGAGCTGGTGGCATGGCTACTATTGGGGTATTTTAAACAGATTTATGTTGAGAATCTAGAGCAAAGAGTACAGCAGAATGACATAAAACATATTGAGTTTGTCTGGAAAGGAAGATCCAGTAAAGCTGTGGTCTGCAAATGTGGGACAGAGGAGTACTTGGTTGCTGAAAAAGTCAATAAAAATCCAAGTCAAGAAAAAGCAAAAAGTGAAGTATTTCAGAAAAATACAGCAGAAGAGATGGTCTGAAAAATCACAAACCAGTAAAACTGCAGCCTCTGCAGCCCAAGATTTGCAAATGTGAAAGACTTTGCTTTAAGGAGAGACCCCCCAGATTACTGTGTTCCAGAATGCTGATGACCTAGGGAAGTCATTCTTAGGCATTTGGTTCATACAGCCAAAAGAGAAGGAAGCCTGGCTACCCCTCCGCTTGCAGACCTTGGCATATTCGCGTAGTGCTAGTTTGCTAGTTTTACATATGTAGAGAATGCAAGCATTGTGGGTCAGGAAGGCATCCATCTAGATTTCAGAAGAAGAGCTGGGAAGCCAGGCAGTGTGATTCTTAGAGGGCAGTGTGTAAAGTTGTGAATGTGAAGCTGAAGGTGCAGATGTTTAAAGAAGCCAGAAACATGGATAGTCTGAGGAAAACTACAAGGAGGGAGCAGAACCAAACCCAGAAAGAAGCCATGGAGGTACAATCACTGACAGTGCCACAGGTGCAGATTCAGCTAAGCCCTTTGAAGTTAACAGCTTGTTCCAGATGGTCAGGGATGCTGGAAGTCGAATTGTGGGATTTGATGTTTGTCCTGCTGTATTTTGATCTTGCTTTATTCCTATTCCTTGCTATTATCCTGATTGTAACTTTTGAAATGGAAATGTCTCTCTTTTCCCGTTGAATGTTGAAAGTGTTTATTTTCTTTTTTTGTACAGGGGCTTGAAGCTGTGATTATCGTAAATATCATAGATTTTGGACTTGGACTTTTCAGTAATATTTAAACGTTTAGGACTTTGACAACTCAAAAATGGACTAAGTATCTTTTGAATGAAAAGAAGTGCATGAGTCTTTAGAGGACTAAGGGCAGAATGTTTTGGCTTGTGTCTAGATGTCCTTCCCCCAAAGCCTCATACAGTCATATGTGGAGTTTTTTTTCAGAAGTGACTGAATCTAGAATGTGCAACCCTGGGATTGATTCACGGTGCAATGCAAGGATCAAGGGAACTAAAATTAAGGCTGTGAGTGCTATGCACTCTAGGTAACCTGAATAAAATATATAATGGATAGAAAGAGCTATGGTCATTTTTTGTTTGTTCTGCCTGCCATGAACTATTTCTTCTCTGCTATCCCTT